CCCGCCGCCCTTGAGTGACAGCCCGCGGCTCCAACCAGCGGGCGCGGCGCGGGAGCGGCGTCCCCACTCTGTGGGAAGAAGGGCGGGCGGGAGACGCTTGCCCCACCCTCCCTCCAGGCTTGGTTGCGCTGCGGCGCCTCTCGTTGGCTCTTTGAAAGGAGGCGCGGGTGGCCGCGGGAAGGCGTCCGGCTCGCTGGTTGGCTAAGCCACCAGCCAATCGCTGTGAGCGCTTGCACAAGGGCGGGGCTTCCCTGTGACGTTACGAGCCGAGGGGGCGGGGCTGGGCACAGGTGGCGGAGGCGCCATGTCGCAGCAGTGAGGTGGCAGTTACCTGGCAACGCGCGCTGACGTCGCCAGGGGAAAGCCGAGTGAGGTCACAGCGTGGCGGGGTGACGTCACGCAATAAGAGCGCTGTCCCTTACTGCCTCGCGGTGATAAAGGCTGAAGCACCTGGGAAGCACCTCTCACTTGAGGGGTGCAGCGTGTCCTCGAATCTGCTAATTAATAAATAAATAAAATGCTTTTCTGAGCTCAAGGAATTTCTTCTGCAGCATTGCCTCTAGCAGCCATTCAAAAAAAAATCAGAACCGTTTCACGAACAATGAGCATTTGTTCAGAGAGGAGATATGTAACAGCACCATCTGGTGACACTTGCCTCAGCTGTAGGGCAGGCAGAAGATGGAAGCTTTGATAGCAGAGATGCGGTTGGGTCACCTTTTGTAATAATATTTATTGTTGTAAGCAAGCAAATTTATAAAAAAAAATTATGGGAACTTTGAAGAAAAAAAAAAAAAAGCTGTGTGATTCTTCAGTTAAAACTGTCTGTTTTTCCCAGGAGCTTCTACTACGAATTAGAACAGAAAAGAGTAACAACCTCAGTTTTTTTCCACAGGCATGAAAAGAATTAATAAGATATCTAAATGTGCTGGACAATCCCTGCTAACTTTCTCAAGAACAACAGTCAGGAAACCTTTCCAGCATTCAAACAACAACATCAGTTTTTAGCATAGTTACTTGTACTAAGGCATCTGCATGGGAGAACACATACTGTGTCTGCTGGGAAAGACAAACTGAGCTCCTAGCTCCTGCTCCAGAAGAATAGATGTGATTTATTCCAGGAAACATAATCTATTTTCTGCAAGGCATGGACATGCTGGATCTGGATTCTGTCTGTGCCACTTGGCTTCTTTGCTCTCTCCCTTCTACAGCAAGAGCTTTTGAGATACTAACTTGTTCACTATGCTGGCACATAATTACCTAAATTTTTTTCCTTTACGGTTTTGTTTCAGATACTAAAAAAAATAAAAAAAAAGAGAGAGAGAGAAACAATACAAAGATTCCAGTTTACTCTTCAAGTTAGTGATATTTAAAATGTTGTACTTAATTGTGTCATACTCTAATCCTTACATCATGCAATGATTTAGGTAATTTTCCGCATTAGGAGAGTAAAAATGAAGTCCCTAAGTCAGTGTTTTGACTGCCAAATTCATGAACTGTGATCAGCTGTCCCAACTCTAGTCATTTTTATGCTTGCGTCATTTTGATTTTTACTAAGTAAAGATGGAATTCCCCATATTTACTTTCTATGACACCTTCACACATTTCAGTGTTGATGAAAAAAGCAGCTCTGAGTAAGTCCTTTTTCCTATTTTCCGGAAAGCAACTATTTTTGCTTCTTTCTTCAATAAATGATTGCTGATCTTATACTCTATGAAGTATGATAAGCCCTGCAAGTAGAAAGGATACCATGCAAGGACCAGATATGCCACTTTTATATAATTGCTTGCCAAATAGCTTTGCAGTGGCATAGAATTTGAGCATAAGCGTTTGCTACGGGCCTTGTTCTCAGATGAGAACGTTGGATATGATAGAACAGAAATAAATTTGATCTTTGTTCTGAAGACTTGAAGTATCAGAACTGCCTGACTCTGTCAAGGAAACCAGCCACTAATGTTTAAAAGCATCTCACTGCTTCAATATATGTAATTCGGTAATTTATTCATGTTGCTATTGAGGAATGAAATATATTTTGTGCCGATTAGCTGAAAATAAGAAAACAAAAATGATGCTTTAAATCTGCTCTAGATGTGAACCTTTTACATCAGACTTTCCCTCCAAGAACACTTATGTCCTCAATTATTTTATTTGTATATGCCCTTTCCACTTTCCAGAGAAAAGAGCTCTGATAATACATCCCATTTAACATGAATGCGTTAGGCAAAAGGAGTTCCAGATTTCCCTTTTAGCGTCACGGCTTTTCTTCCAGCGATTGCTGGACTATCCACACCAACTCTCTGCCTTGTTGAACTAAGCTGGTGGGCTGGGAGGCAGAGGGAATGTCTCCGATTGTGCCAGGAGGCATTAAAGGGACAACTTTCTCAAAGATGCCATCACCCAGACTACCAGTCTCCTTCCCCAAGTCTCCCTCCCCTTTCTTCAGCTACGTACTTTCTTCAACAGAAAGCCCAGGAAACTACTGTTCATACTGAATACAGGACTGTTCATAATTTGAGTATTTATTGTGGCAAAACAATTCATAAGTTTTCTTTAGAAGACTTTTTTTTCCATGTTTAGGAGCAAATGAACTCTACATGAAGAAATGGAAAATCATATATCATTTTGGAAAGAATACTGGATAAGGGTACATGCAGAGTTCAAACTGTCTTTTAAATAATTTTCTCTCAAAATGCATTATTAGTTTTGTTCATCTTCTCTAGTATGTAAAGGTCTATGGAATCAATGAAAATATATTTAGCCTACACCTTTAGAAAGAGAAATCTCCAGTATTAGTTGGTAATAATAGTAAAATCATATGCAAAGCAAAAATATTAGGATCTAGCATGCTTGTCCTTTAAGTTCTATTCCAAAATTATATTAAATATATTAATTTCAACTTTGTAAATGTTGCATAATCTCAAGTCTTTTGAGTAGGCAGACAAGGATAAAAATGATTAAGAAACCAGCCAACATTTCTCTATTGCGAATGCTATGATTTTCAAACACTACTTGCTAGTAAAGTGCTGTTACAAGCAAAATGAAATCATTAGTGTCTATCGAAAGCAAATGACATTTTAGTAATATTCAAATTGTATTTGTTTTGGCAAATAGTTAAAACCTTAGACTTGTTCGTTTAACCACCCAAAGCTAATTCAGTATAAATAATATTGGTTTCCAATAATTCTGTTCTAAAAGGCACATACTAATGTTCCAGCAGTTCATTCAAGTGAGCTTTTGCATGTAAAGTTTTAATTGTGCTTTTAAATAGTTACTGATTCAGTATGACCTTGAAAGTGACATTTGTGCATGTCTAAAATACCTCTTCACAAATGAACCTCACACTCTGAAGGTATAATTTTGTTAAGATTAAGATTATATATATAACTATGCATATTGATCTCTATAGATCTACATAGATCTACACATATACATATATCCATACATACACACACAAAAAGAAGTCGTCTGGAACAGCAGCAGAAAGTGCAGTCTATACTTTTTTTGAACTGGCTTAATAATATAAAGTTTCATAACAGTCAATGAAGTTTCTGAAATGAATTGTCTCGGGATTTGTGAGATCCAAGTGATTATTTGTGGTAATGCATGTGTCCCATATTACTGTCCTTCCTCACAGGCTGTTTCAAGCTCACTTCACTTCCAGAAGAGATGATTGGCAAATTGTTTTCCATGTGATACTGAATAAGGTGACCCACACTATCAAATATACGGTCTTTGGTTCTTACCTAGGGAACGAAGCAAAATAAATAAATAAATAAGCAAAAGTTTTATTGTGTTTAAAACTGGTTGGGCATGAGCCTAGCCCATTAACACTAAAAGTCATTTAAGCTACTGAACTCCCTAGAGTGGGATAAATAGACTATATACAGTAATTCATACCTATCTTTTATCCCTTAACAGTGTAGGCTGACGTGTGGAACACAAAAAAAGCATAGGAGTTAGTTCAGGCTATGTATGCCCATCGGGAATTACTTTTCCGATTTACTCTCCTCTGAGAAATGCTATCTGAGAAGCTTCTTCTAGCAGCTGAGTAGAAGCAGGTCAAATTCAAGTGATATTAAATCAGCTCTCCCTTTTCTGCCCAGAAGTGTACTCATCAGCTTTGTTTTTTGAGGTTAAGGTTATTTTTCTAGCAGTATAAAGGCAACTCAAAGGATGCATTGTATACTTCTCTCTACATTAATTGCCATCATCTTGATTCACAAAAAGTGTTTAATTTCCTCACTTCTATTTCCACAAAACTTCAGTGCTTACAAGTTCTTGAACTTTAAATTAACCTGTGTAGAATCAGACTGGTTCCACCTTGTGTAATCCATCCATGCCTCGTGACTGAAACATCTGAGCAACCCTGACATTTCTGTGCATGAAATGTTCCTACCTTGCCCTCGGGGTCCACCAACAGGAGATGCTTTGCCTGGCCTCCCTGCAGTCCACTGAGGACGTACTGCCCAGGTGACGTTGTGCTCTCCCGCACCAAAAAGTCCCCGTCGTTCACTAGGAGGCTCTCTGCAGCTTTCCTGTTTAATTTGCCATGGTAACAATCTTCATTCTTTAGCTGTTGTTTTATTTGTGGCATAATAGGGAGACCAGCTGTGTTGCTTGCAGCACTCTGCTGAACAGCTTCCGGTAATTCTAAAATTAAATGAAAAGGAACATATTGGACACTTCACCTAGAACTTCATCCTAAAAGGAAGTGATCCAATGTTTTTATAGCTGTTAGCCTTTGGAAAAATTCAAATGAAGCCGTGAACAAAGCTGCCTCCCAGGCTCCCTGTGATAATATGCACGCACGAAGGCTCACAACACACCAGTGGATTAGGTAAAATTATCATTGCATCTCCTCCCCACACCTCAGATGGTAAAACCTTGGGTTGCTAGGAAACGGGAATTTAAATCAATGATTGGGTGGGTTTTTTTGTAATGCTCTGCTGTTTTGGTTTTGTATTTCTTCAATTGTATTTAAAAAGTCAACACTTCCCTGTTAAACAAGATTTTTGTTGTTTTTTTAGCCACAAAACATGTTTAACGATGCAGTTTTTCCCTCTTCCTTAGCAAGCTCCGAGGCGATTGTCACGTCTCCTTGGGAGAGTCATGTTGAGCCACTCCAGCTATGTGCAGGAGTGCAAGTCAACATGGCCAACGGGGCCAGAAGGGAAGGATTACAGCATGATGCATCTGCTGTGAAAAAGCGAACAATTACTGCATGTACTAACAAAACTGGGTGGCTTGGGATATAGCCAGTCAAACTGCAAATGATTCACAAGCAGGATTTCTCTAAGGAAACCCAGGATACCACTTCTTCAATGGAGTTGTGCAACTGAAGGCTCCTCGGGATATGGCTAGTTCCTTTGAGAGCGTAATGCAGCCCGAGGTCTGAAGTGTCTCAATAGCCACAGATTTCCTTTACTGTAAATCTGTCCAGCCCTTTGCCCACCTTTTTGTGTAAAGCTGGCATTGACCAACACTAAGTAGGGATCCAGAAAAGATGAAGATAATAAAGTATTTTAAGTAATGAAAAAATATCTAGAAATTATATAGTCACCTACTAGCTACTCCACTACTTTGAGTCTTTAAATCAAGACTTTCATCAAGATGAAAGGTGATTCTATTCGCTCTCTGTCAGTATTTCTAATCTGCTTTATCTTGAATTTAATAATCTAAAAACCAACCAGGAAGATTCCCGCCCCGTATTTCTCACTAGAAAAGCACAACTCTTTCTCCATGCATGGAGCTGACACGCGCTCTCATGTCAAAGCCTTGTCAAACATGGTGTTGTGGTGTGAACGTACTCGCGTGGTGCAGCGGACTCCCATGGGCCTGGGCCGTGGCTGTGCCGCGGGCCGTGCACACTGCGGGCGGCGGGGTCTGTGTGTTGATGTAACAGGGATCATCAAAAAGATCTGTCCTGTAGGCAGGCTTCAACAGTGCTGCATCTTTTTTTGTCTTCTGTGCTCTTTCACCCCCATTACCTGCAATGAATAGATAGTATGTACAGAGTTACTTCCTTTAGCTCAAGGTAATTTAACTGCACAAGCTGAAAGGGAAATATTGCTGTTCTTATATATCCCACTAAGATCATTCACAAGGAGATGAAAAATTGGCTGATGAAGTAGTTCCTTCTCATGGCTGGAAGGAACGAGGTACACTAGCCCAAATGGGCAAGAATGAAGTTTTCTAAAATGCTCCGCACTGATTCAAGCTCTGCTCCAATTAGTGCCAGTACTGGAACTGCCACTGCTTACAGAGAAATTCATACCTCTGCCTGCGCGGAGGCACAAGCTGAAACCCCTGCGTGGGGCCAAGCCCTTCCATTTCCCCCTGCACAGCAGGCAGGGCAGGAAGAGCCAGGAAGATGGAGGCGGCTGCTGCCTGGCGTCTCTGCCCGCAGAGCCAAAGCCACATTTGGCAGGTTCAGTTCCTGGCCTAGGGAAAGGCTAACGGAAACATCCCCTGCAGTCTGCGAACATAATACTGTTTCGGCTAGCCAAATAGCACACATTTTTGCTCTTTAGAAAACTTTTTATTCATAGATCTATTCATTCATTTTTTTTACTTATTCACCCTCCCTTTGTAGAAACCATTGAATTCCCCTTCACTTACATCAGAAATAACACAAGAGAGAACTATCCCCTGTGGGCACTGCAGCAGAACCCTTGCTAGCAGAGCCGGGGGAATTCACAAGGGACCTCGCTGCTCAGAAGCGGAGCTGAGGAAACCCGCTCAGGGCTGCGGCTTCGGAGAGGGGCATCCAGAAAGGGCTGGGGGCTGCGATCCCACGGGACAGCGAGAGCAGGTCCCATTAATGTGAAACTGCGAGCGAGGCTGAACGGGTGCCAGCGCCCTGCACCACAGCCACCGCCTCAGCTGGTAGCTCAGGTCCCCGAAGCATGTGAGGGGGGAAAGAGCATTTTCAGAGATTGTTAAGAACTATTTTCCTTCTTCAAAGGGTATGAAAAGGAATAAAACAACAAAGAGTATAAAGGGACTGAAACAACAAAGAGCTACTGTACAGTATCATGACAAGTAAAATGAGCAAGTCTCCCTGCAGACATGAAGACAGATTAGTGGCCTTTTGAAAGGCTGTAAGGCCTTTTTGTCTGCCCTCCATCTAGGGAACTAGAAATGAGCAGAACACTTTTCACCATTGTATTGAAAGCAAATGGGCAGCTCTTCCAGGCAGTTTGGCTTGGTGAAGTCTAAATATGCATGAGAAGGAAAATAGAGTCCATACCCACAGCCTTGTTTTCTTCTGGGCAGTTTTCGTATATATTGATGAACGTTGGGCTGCCTGTCTGCAGAAAAATCATAAAAACAGTCACAGAGGATCTTCTTTATAAATATCAGATAACTTTATAATGTCCGTGCCCCATTTAAGTAGAATCTAGGTAACTAGAGAAATCTTAACAAAAATAATTTACCATGTGCTCAACTCATGTTTCATGATGATATTGCTGTTCCTACAGACATCAAGCCTGAACATACTCTAATCCCTGCAGAGACTCTTAACTAGCCAGCAATGTACATAAGGTCCATTGCCTTTTTCTAAGAAATGAAGTGATGCAGTCATGCAAGAGGAGAGAGAGAAAGCTGGGCCTGCATTTTCATTTTATATCACGACTGAAACATGGGGTGCAAGGAACCACAGATTCTTAACACTATTCTTATCTGTTGACCAATAAAGTCACAATGTTCAACAAATGCTGTCCCCCAATCAGTTCACCTACGAGAAATTTCATACAGCTGCCCTATGGCAACCAACATAACCTAAGAGCAGTGGCCACTAGACCCAACAAACCCTGGGGAGCAGCAGCTTCTCAGACAAGACAATGTGGACTCCAACAGGTAGGTCTGACCCCACTCCATCCGAGGAAAACCTGCATCCCTGCATTTGGAAATGCTGGTGTTTCCAAGAACAAGCACAGCAGACTTTGAAGTTTGTGTAGCAAGTCTGAACTCTGCTGGTTTTACTTCCTGCCTGCTGGTTTTCTTATTCCTGACTATCCCAGGCAAGAGCCATGGGTATATGTATTTTTTCTGTGTGTAATTTAATAAGGCCTCTTGAAACACTTCTAAAGGTAAATTAATGTTTTATATACATTAACGTAGCCCCAGATTTTGCAGATGTTCTCTTACACAAGCCATGTAAATGTCCATCTACTTCCTGTTAGGTGAACAAGGGAATATTACTCTGTCTGCTAAAAGTACTCTAAGGACAACCCAGCTAATATTCAGAAGGCACTTTGGGGTCCAAATGTATACTAAGCATCACTAAATCTACTCTAAAAAGAAGCCTTTCCAGGGAAATCAGGACCCAATTCTAATGTTAATAGCACGCTTTTCATCACAATATCACATACGTTATTATTCATTCCCAGAAGAGGCAGTGAATAGTTATTCCAGAAGATGATGTACTTACCAAGCAATACTGCTTTTTGCACTGCATGGGGCAATTAGCCCTTTGGCCTGTTTGCACTTTCACTCGCATGTCCTCTGGAATTTCATTGTAATATTCATGATCCTCCCTCTCCTGTGTATTCCCAGATGATCTATCAGTCACTGCCTCACTGAAAAAATATGAAAAATAAAATGACTGATGTAATCAACTGCTTTTCAGTGCAGGCAAATGTTCCAAGTGTTTGTGCATTACAGAAGGCACAGGTTAGACATACAAAGGTTTTAAAGGCTTTAGAGTCATAAACTTTCATCAAGTTTCTTCTTTATTTTTCCAGTTACTTCTTTCTGAAATATAAATGGAGTCAGCCACAGTTTAAGTTGTAGGGAGGTCAAGTCATTTCCTTAGCACTGAACAGTCTGGATCCCTTTTCTTTGCATTGAAAATATGAATGCCACTCACTCACCGAACTGGTAAACAGGAGACCGCTAAAGCATCACATATGAAGGCATCTAAAAGGTAGACTGTAAAACAAATTCCTCTGGCTTCTTATCTCAGCCATATAAATCAAAGGAGACTGCTCTGTGCGGGACTTAAGAGGAAATTAAAACCTCATGTGGCAAAGAGTTAGACAGGCCTGCAACTGCTTTAGAAAATCAAACATCGCTACAAAAAATGTGGTTTTCCAGAGAGAGATCTACTCTAATTTTAATAACTATAATCAACATAACTATTTTGTTTCAGCTTGAAAGAAACACTGAACGACACCAAGGATAGCACACCATGTTTTTCTTGAGCTAAACCAGAACGATGATGGTTTAAATGTACAGCTGAGACACTGCAAAAGAACTAGGTGCTTCCTGCACTGTCTCCGGTCCTGAAATAAAAAGCTCATCTCAAATCTTACTTCTCTGTTTAACAAGAATATAATTGGATAAAAGGCCTCAAGCAGGAAAGAGATAAAGTTCAAGTAGTTGATTATGTGATACACAGTGCAAGTATTTGATTATATGATTCATAGTAGTTTGGATGTGGGTGACTCATTCACACAACAACATCCGAGTTTTCTGCCTGAGGACCATTCTGCAGGGCCGAGTGCAGGATGGGCTCAAGGACGGAATCCAATTAGCGTCGTCCCTTTCTCATTGCTGGGATTTGCTTGTGGTATAACCTAGGCCGGGCTCCTAGGAAAAGTCCTCCCTCTCTGGCTGCTGCCCTTTAGCGCTACTAGAAACACTATAGATAGCAAAAGAAATGTAATTGTAGATGGAAGGGCTTTTCTGTATTTTCCTGTATTTTTCTGTATGTGGATGACTGTGCAGAAGACAGAGCTTCACACTTTAAAACATCTAGTGGTGCACGTGTTTAATTCGGAATGCAAGGCTGATATACCAGGTGGAATATCAGGCCCCTGCCAGGACATAAGCCAAGAAGCAGAAAGGTAAATTACAATCGCTTTTCTTCCCACCACCCACCCTCCACAGCTGCAGTGAGCTTGAACTCGGCACTGCTGAGGACCTGGCTCAGTGTGTGTGCACCTTATTTATAGAACAGAATTTTTTCACTTCCCTTTCTCTGCCCTTACTCAGAATAAGGCCATTTTAACTAAGGGATAGCACAGTTGAATCCTGTGCTGTTATGCACCTGTACAAACGTCACTGAAATCTATGGAATTTACTAGGGCAAGCCAATTTTACTCTATTATATTCTGTGCATGCAGCATATACTTAAAATAGCTTATGTCCAGAAGAATGGCATATCCAAAGCATCTCATTTATGGATGACTCTTTACAGCATATAGTTTTCCTGAAAAGTAGCAAAAAAAAAGAATATTGCCAGTTAAGTGACTGAGAACAGCATGCTCACCTGTCATTAGAAGTAACCAGGCTAGATGGATTCTTCAGGTACTGCTTGAACCGCAGCTCGAAAGCCTGCCCTATGGTATTTATCACCTCCTGCGCCATCCCATCGGGACATTCCAGTATGTGACATGCTGCAAAAAGACCTTGCTTTAATGAAGTAAACATGCTTTATATTAGAAGATATAGACAAGCTACATTGCTTACAGTAAAGTCAGACATGACATTAGGCATCTAAATAGCTTTAGGATGATATACAGACAGAGATTTTTGATGAGTTAAGGAAGTTGCTCTGGGTATATTTTAGTCATAATAGCAACTTTTACCTCTGTAAAAGAAACTATTGCTTCCTTCCTTATGTTTCATGCAGTGTTCCTGTATCTTCTGTTCTCTCCCTGCATGGTGGTAAGCCCAAGAACAGGAGAGAACCAACCCTGAAGGTTCTATCTGTTTTCATAGGAAACAGCAAAAAAATCAAGGCAAGTGTGGGCAGCCCCCGCAGCCTGGGGCAGCTCCAAGCTCCTGCAACCAGTCCTGGCTCTAATGCTCAATCCCAGAAATTCGTGACCACAGTGATGCTGAAGACCAGTTCTGCAGAGCTCTGCAGCTCCCTCTGAAGAGCTGCCATGCAACAGTGCAGGTTTGGTCTCACTTGCACATTCTCACTTTGTTGCACAAAAAGTGGGAAGTTTAAAGCCAGATCCTGCATGCTATTACTCATTTCTGCACAGTGATATTGTAAACCATATAGATTACTGAACTATGCGCTATCCCAATACCTTTAAAGCTCATGTAATAATTTGGTACAGTTAAAGCAATCATATAAATATGCATCACAATCTGAAAATTGTTTCCGTACCTCTCTGATTAACAGGATCTTTTGCTACATATGCAACGTAGTCTGTTGTATCCTTTGGGAAAGAAGTAGACAAATGTCTTTAATATTATTATTAGCAGCAACACTATCAAAAAAGTGACTGAGTATAGAGATAAACATTTTTAGGCTAGCTTCATACTTCCTTCAGGAAAAACAACTGGAGCAGCAAAGCAGACCAAGGGAAAAAAGAACACTTTGGTGTGATTTTTCCTCTATCACATGCAATAGACCATTTTGAATTGTGTTTTTAAAAAATTGCTTTGAATTCAAAGCTCTGAAACAGGAGCAAAATATGACCAGCGGCTCATCAGCAGACAGTGCGACTGCCTTTTAGTATTTCCCAAAGCTCCTTTTCTCCCCTGTGTGACTGATCCCAGGGCTCAGTCACTTCCGGGCACATCACTTCACTGGGACATCTTTTTTCCAAGATCAGTGGAAAAGGAAAGAGCAGGAAAACACTGCAAGGAGCATGTCCGATTTTTTCAGACTGTAGTATGAGGGTTGGCTTTTAAGGGCATCATAGGGAAAAGATGAACTTTCAAATACCACATAATACAATTGGCATCTGATCTCCCTCACTGCTGCCTGATTTTAGCCCAACTAATATCTCATTAAGTTTCTTTGGACTTCAAGGTTGCTGAGACCAGACAAAGTCAGTGTAAGCAGTCGCCTGTTTCAAGCTCACTTTCCAGCCAACATTAAAATAATAATTGTTTTTCCTAGTGAAACTGAGAAGGGAGCTAGAATAGAAGAATTAACATTTCTGGTCATATTGCAAAAGCAAAGAGCCACTTGATAATTCAGTATTATAGTAAAAATGGTGAGGTAATGAATAACATTCTTTTAATAATTAAAGATGTATTTTGTTATTTTGAATCCTTAAGGCGGGATAGGGAAAATGCAATGCACAGCTTAAAGGCATGGCTCTCTTGAGGGAAGATGCAATCAGCTAGCAGGAAACGAAGGCCCCCCTTTGCAATATGCACAAGAAGAATCATTTAATAATTCACAATGAATGACAGAAAAAGCAAATCTTGGGGTCAGCTGAACTTGTCCTAGATTTTATTTTTGTAATCTCTGAGTTAATATTGTTAAAGCAAAGAAAGCTAAATATTTCTTATGCATTTAGTGAAGTGAATTTCCTTCCTTTTCCTCTTAGCTTTTTCTTAAAGCTTATAAATATTTTAAATACATTTTTAAGTGAATTAGATCTAGAGAGCAACTAGAAAACTAAAAACAACTGGAGCCATGCCTACTATTTGTTATATCTTTACAATGTATAAGTACATGAATGGATGACTTTGCTCTTAAGTAAAGCCACCTCTAAAGCAGAATATTGCAATTCCTGAACAGTGCAGAGTGATATGAGGTATGCTCAGACCCCAATGTAAGGTTAAGCACCTCATGCAACTGCACATGGGGATGAGCAGAGGCACATCCTACAGAAACTATATCCTATTTTAATAGTAAAGAGAATTTTGGAAAAATAACTGAAAAAAAGTCACCAGCACTGCTAGATTTCTAGTCACCAACCATGACAGAAACCTCTGTTCCGTATAATTTTCTAGGAATATTGGCTCATGGAGCCCAGCAGCTATGCTGGCTCTATTCTGAGATCTCCCCTAAGAGGAGAATAGTAAATGTTAAAGACGTATTTATGCTATTCCATTATCAATAAAATTGCAATTTTCACTTTAAGGCAAGAATATAGAAAATTAATATCTGAAAGTGTTTCTAGAAGGCAAATGCTATGCATGTAGATGAAGTAATTTATGTTAAGATTCAGACTAGACTTCAGTAAGCTGCAGAAAAGGGCTTCTAGTAAAAGAAACAATTGGTCTGAGAGGGGGGGAAAAAAAGCCCCAAAACACCAACACTTTAATTCAACTTTATTCAGGGTTTCAGGTTTAGATCTTACCATGAGAACTATTGCTATAGTTAGAAAAATTGCTTTTGTGTTACATGCATGCAGGGAGAACCTTTTGCAAGTTGTGTTGATGCAACTGTAGCACATTAGTGGCGTTCACAGATTTTCAGCAACCAGAATTTTGGCTGTGACCCAAGTTTACTCAATTCTACATCTAAAGAAAGGAACATGGATAAGTTAAGGTCAAAGGCACCTTGGTCAAGCCAAATCTCCTATAACATAAAGCAAAATCAAGCTTAGCAGCATGAGCCAGAAAGAAAAGAAAAAGCAGCTTGCGATTCTCAGCACGGACGTGCACCAGCGTCTGCAGATACCTAGAAAACCACACCCTGAAAGGTCTGCAAAGCCCAAGCACTGCACAGAATTTGGGCTTCCCAGAGTCTCAGAACGCCTTCACCATTAAACGGACCTTCAAGGCTTTACCCCCAGGGACAGGGGTCTTGCAAGACCTCCCGGCTGAGCGCAGGTCTGCGCCGGAGCCGCCCCAGTGCCGCAGGGCTGCTGCCCGCGACACCTCCACGTGGCTGGGCTGCCACCATCACCCGAGGCCTCCAGGGAAGGCCCCTCCAGTGCTCAGGGCTGGTTTCCAGCTCATTTCCCTGCCTGGCCGGTTTGCTAAATCCAAAGAGGCAGATCAGTCATTTCTCAGTTGAAGCTAGACGTGGTTCCCACCCCAGTGTTATCAGGAACGTAACCCAGAGCCTTCTATTTGCCTTGTTTCATAACATAAAAACAAGGAGACCAATTAACAAAACTGAAGAGCAGAAAATTCAAAACTGATTAGAAAATACATTTTTCATAACATATGGAATGTGAAATTCAGAACATGGTCAGATTCAGAGAGGAGATAGGACACGGCTATGGATGACAAATTCCCTAATCCTAGTTACCTCAGGAGAGTGTTTGGAAGAAGATATAAAACCTCTTGCATGATAATGCCACCCAGTTTACTACCATAATACTTGGAGAAAACTCATATCCACAGAAGACAAACAAACAAACAAAAAAAAAAAAAAGAAAAAAAAAAGACGTAGAGGGGTGCCACATCTGCCTCATAGGGACTTTGTTTGCCTTGAAATTCCTCTAAAATTTAAAGGTGCTGGTGTCAACCACCCCTGTGATAAGGCACTGGACTGTGGGAGCACAGAGCTGATGTGATTCCTATGTTTATGTGTTCCCTCAAGTCAGAGGGATCTGGAGTTCACTGACAGACAGTGGGAAAGGTGCATACATGTGTCTACCATAAAGATCCTTTGAGTCTCTTTGTTCAGTCTGGGATGAGGTACAGTATTTGCAGGTGCTTTTATTCTCACAGTAGCTTCATTGTACCTACAGAAGCATAGCGGATAAATCAATACTTACTGGGTCACCTCCAGAAGCAAATGAGATGGACTGCATGTGATGGTTGGCAATAATCTGAAAAGCATGACAAACTAGTTAAATGTGCTTATGTGCTGTACATTTAGAAAACAGCAGAATGCATAACTTCATGGAGCAAGCAATTAAGTTCATGACAACCCAATCCATTAAGACGTGCACACACAATTTGTGAGGGAAGGAGCAAGAGGTAGGACTATTTTTTAAAGATATGCATTCATGTTTAGTTATGTCTGGATCCTGAGTAATCTTCCTTAAAAGGTTTCCTTTTACAGAAAGCCATCAACTTATAACCTGGTCAGTAATAAAACTACTTGCAACTTTGATGGGAGATTAACTAGAGACACCTGATACGTTTACAAATTCTTGATAAATTTAGTTGAACACATCCAGAATTGCCAGATTATATAATGACCAGCTTGTATAATGATGTTGCTTTTAAGAACAGGCCCCAGTGAACTCTTATCCCACGTCTCTTTTGGCACAAGCACTAAACTAGTCCGTTACGGATTTCTCCAACCAGCTCAAGGATCTACTTCGTAGTTTCACATATTACCTCATCTCTGGAGACAAATTGTTCTTTTTTATAAAATCAACTGCAAGAGATTATGCAAGAGGGAATACAATGAAGTGCAGTGGCACTGCAAGAACAGCATAAACAGTATTTTCAATTTGCAAGGAACTGGTAAGTAAGGACTTAGAGAAAACCAGAGGACTGCATCCCGAAAGCCTACATGGGTGCCAGTGAGGCATGGCCGCTGCAGACCCCTGGGGTTTTGCCTGGCTTAGGGAAGCTCTTGGCTGCTGCACCCAAGGCGGGGGGAATGTGGGTGCTGTTACCAAACCGGTGTCACTGGGGAATGCCAAGAGCTCAGCTTCGGACAGCCTTGTCCCAGCCTCAGCGCTGCGACTCCTCCAACAGCACCGCGTGAAACCCACCTCCCCGATGTCCCCTGCTCCGCCAAGGAGCAGGGCCAGCAGCGCCCCAGCGTGAGGTAACGCTCCGAGCGGAAGCCAGGGCTGGAAGGAGGCACGAGGTGCGCGGCGTGAAGCTGCCGCATCCCACGTGCAGGGAAGGGAGCACCCCCAACACGGGGCGAGCCCGGGCTCGCGGGAGCAGCCTTCGAGGAGGAATTTGCATAGTTTAATTGCTTATGCACATATATTACCCAGCCATGAGATAACTTAATGATGCCAAAGCCAAGCTCTGACTCATTATTTATATCCTTTTTTCCCCTAGGACTTGTCAGAAGCTCCAGCGAGGACTACATCCTTGTTTATTAGGCACTGTACAAACAGAAACATACATAGAGAAACAGTTTGCCAAGTGCTCAGAGATCCTTCCACATGAAAGGCACTATAATAAACAGAAGTGGCATATGGCACATGTCAAATTCCTCCAAAAGGCTCTCATTTTTAGATCCAGAGGCACCAGTGCAATTCAGCTCTACCAAGACTAAATGGTGCTGCTTCACATTAAAAGTGCCTCATCATTCCTCCAGCTGCCACCAGAGGAGAAGAAAACAGTAGTACAAAGAAAAGGACCCTGGTTTATATGTATCCTACCTGCTGCGTGTCAGCATTAACCAAAGTGAGGCTGCTTGTTGAAATGGTCAGCTTTATATTCATGCCAGAAAACTGAAGGTTACTTTTGCCAAGCACAGAGGACAGGAACTTTACTGGAGGCTTTGAAAAAGAAACAAAAAGATTGTCAGTTGAACATATCAAAGTCAAGTATATTTTACAGTATCTGACTGAGAATTTCAATGGATTAAGGATTTAATGCAGACAGATCTTATAACAAAGATCAGCTTTAAATATAGTATTTGAATGCATGGTTTTTATGTCAATAATGGAAACAAGAGTTTCAAGAAGCAAAACTGCAATGAACTAAGCATTGCAGCTGGCTGAATAATTCAGAACACATCATTCTTCCACAGAACTCTTTCTTTTCTTGGGGATAAAGTGTTTCTGAGTAAATCAAAAAACTCTCTCACATTCATTTTTCAGGAGCAAGTTCAGAGAGAGTCATTCTTCCTGTGCTCCCTGGTTACCAATGGAAATCAATAACTTCCAATGAACATTGCCTTGCAAAAGCTACTTATCTTGCCCCTTGCTGCATACCGGTTATTAAATAAATGGTAAGCCATTAAACACTGCTAATATAGTTTTTCCTTGGGTTGGTTTTGATCTAACTAATCAGGTGAATGAGGTCCCTTTTGCAATCAAAAGAATTCTTACATTTTACCTTCTAGAACCTAAAAATCTTGAAGCATTAAGCACTGCAAAGGCTGGTAGGAGCAGGAACACTTTTCAGAGCATTAACCTTTAAGAATAAGGTAGAGCATTGCTGGCACCCCCACACCAGCAGCCTAAACACCCCGTTGTGTTACACGAAGCTCAGGTGAATGAGCACACACTAAATCCAGTGGGGACTGAAGCCTGTTTGGGAATCACATCTCTAGCTTGTCAAAAGCAGATACAGAAACATAAATGTTCAGTTAAGGCAGTATTTACCTTCCGCTTTTTTATAGCTCCATTTGTACCCGATACAGCCTCACACAGCCGGCTTATTGCTTCCCTACAAAAAGAAAAACACAAACTTCTGGATCATTTAACATGCATCAGCTGTAACAAGGACAACAGCCTTGTGATTAACTGTTACAAACCCACCTAAAAATCCCAATGTTAACAGCAGTCTGGTTTGGATTGATTCTTTCCCTTCATAGGGCCTAACCATGTCACCTAATGGAAACTTTTTTTGTGAAGGAAAAAAAAAAAATCAACTAACTGCAAGAAGCAGAAAGGACCTCATGCCTTCAAAGCCTCTTCTGCAGGAAGGCTGATGTGTTTCTTGTCTGTCAGGCAGGAACCTTCACCTGCATTGGTCAGGTCTTATATAGAGCATAACGGACCTGCTGAGTGAGCCCAGCTGGGAGTCCTCATAGGCTAGTCTGCTGTTTTAGGTTTCTGTTACAAAAATAAAGGAAAAGAAATCTCTCATGACCACTCCACAAGTCAGGAAAACTCTCTTCTCTCGCAGGGAGATCCCTGTTTCACAGCCTAGCCCACTGCAGAGCCGCTCAGCGTGGTGGCTGCTCCAGCACCCAGCACCTGGGCTGGCAAGTCTGGAGGACGTTTTCTTGCCAAGTAGCACACTGTGCTCTGGGCCAAAACCCATGCTGGACTCTGCCCATTCTATACACGTGGATGAAATTGCCTCAAGAGCTGCTGTCAACAATTCTCATCCCTCTTAGCAGGAAAGTCTTCTCTGCGAATTTTGCACAAGCCTTTCTCGTTTTAAGATCAAGGTGTTTGGTTTGCCCAAGTGAAAGCTGGGTTTCAAAGTTTCTTTTCTTAGAGCATGAAGAGGTTTTGTTGTGGTGCTTGCTAAAGATAAAGCTCAGGAGGGAAATGCAGAGGTACTGTCTACTTCTGCTTTTCACATTCTTTTTCAGATCTGGGGTTTCAGTTCATACTTGTTCCATCCCTAGCAGGTATTGCCCAAATTTAAAGTCATTTCAGCCTCTCGTAGTTTCCTGGGGAGACAGCAATGCAAGACGCATCGTACAAAACCACCTGGCAGGGCAGCATGTGCAGCCCATGACCCCTCCAGCTGCCGGGGCTCTGCCAGGGGGCTCACAGTGGAGAGAAAAGCCCTCATCCCAGTGTGTTTTCAAGCACGCTTGCATTTTGAAGCCTTTTTTTTCTTTTGGACAAGCACTGAAGCTCAGTGCTTCAAGACTCGCAGGCAGGAAGCATACTGCCCACTGAATTTATGTATTTTCACTTCTGTCAAATCAGCCTAGAACTGTGACTTTCAGTACAGTTTGCTCCCAAAGTGAAGCCTATTTCCTCAAGAAACTTTCTAAAAATGCAGTTGGTGTCCCAGGGCCACATTCCTAAGCTTCAGTCCATAATTTCAGAGATTTCAGGTAAAATCAAGCAGAAATTCAATCTTTACCTAGACATATGTTGTTCATGCATTAAAGCATTTTCTTGTCAGTGCGAGGTGAGTTTGCACTAGTCAGTGCTGCAGCTTCACTTTCCTTTTCAAAACCTTCATAATGTGCTCACAGAAAAAAACCCAAAGCAGGGAGACATTATATCAGGCATAAATTGCCCTTTGGGACCAACAGCGTAACACATTTCCTCTTTGAGCCTTTTCAGATTACACTGCATTCATGTTCCTTTTCCCTGGTGATCTAGTTAATCAACAGCAAAACTTCAGCTTTAGGGCCTCTCTCTATTTTATCTTCTTGCAGGCCCCTATTTGAGTAGACCATCAGGCCAGCAGAAAGAACCTGCCCTCGCTTGTTAGCCCAGAAATATTCTTCTCCAGCAAATGTGGCAATGTGGTTGTTCTTCTTCACAATGATTCCTGGGTTTTGCTTTAGTGTATTTAACTGAAGAGAGTTAGGGGCTGTTCACAGTTAACATTACATGGCAGCCTTGGATGTGAATTTCCTCCTTACCAACACTATTTCCCAAATGAAAATCAGTTTAGAAAAGTCCTTCGGATCATTTCCTTACATCCTCCTTGGTTTACTCCTGCCTTTTCTGAGCTTCATCTGGAGCATGACCAGCATGGCTTGAACTTCGGCTTCAAGACAAAGATCTCCCACAACAAGGGGAGCTTTGCTTCACCCCAGCCATCACTAAGTGCATGTGTGAGTCAACCATTGAAAGGCTGGGAACAAATTTAAAGGTACTTAGAAGCCCAAATGATACCACATTATGCTGAAATGAAACTGTCATAAACTTCAATTCTACACAAATCAGCTCTCAGAAACCAATGCCCTGGTCTAGGTTCACATTATCAATCAATCCCTCCCCACACAGATGTGGTGCCAGTGTGTTTTTTTCACATAAGCATTACTTACAAACTTCCATTAATGCATGCAGGCTTCTCTTCTACTTTGCCAGTTCTGCTGAGAAAAGCATTTCAGATTTTGGTTCCTCTATTGGGTAATTTTATTCTGAAACTGTAGCCTTAGCCTTCATTTCACAGCAAGTCTGAGCTGAATTCTGATTCAGGCTTTCAAGCATTGGGATTTTGTTTTATCCTTACAGGAAAAGGAGTTTGTTTATTTATTTATTTCATGTACTTGTTATCCAAAGAGCTAATTAGGAAACAAGTGATTTAGGAAAGTTTGCCTGTCTTCAAGTACCTGTGTGTGCGTGGGAGGAACGCCCACGCTGCCGCGTTGTATTTCCCAAGACAGTGCTGTTTCAAAGGGGCTGAAAAATCAAGAGACTAAGCAACAAGCAAGGCCCTTGGCTCCCCTCTCCAATACCTCTCAGGTATGAGCAGGGCCTCGGCGAGGAGCCCACGGCTCCGGCATGACTGCTGGGAGCGGGATGGAGGCAAACCCCGGGACAGCGGCACTGTGAAGCGCGGGAAGGCCAAGGGCCTCGCACTGCTGCTCCGTGAAATACTATTTACTCTATTAGTGACTTCTTCCTGGAGATCTGCTGCTAACACACTCCTTCAACTTCCAGTCCCATGCTCTGCTGGGACTCTGCCTTCAGACCTGCCAGTCGCACACAGACCTCGCACTTAATCCTCTTGCGTCTGGACAAATGTGCAGTTCTATGGGTTCTGCCTTTGCTTGTCCATTTTATAGTCTCCAAATCTGAAGCAGCTACTGCTCTTCCTTTCTCTCCTCTTTGTCACTCAAACACTTTGAATTTGTTGGGGTTTTCCTTTTAAACGATGGCACATGAGATACTCCACTTGGGTCTCTACAGCAGCTTTCTTCAACCCTGGGAGCCACAGAACGAAATCAGGAGCTTTGCAAGAGTTTAAGTCATTCTGGTTGTCTAGGGCAAAGAAGATCTTGCTCCTCAGCTCCTCAGGCATCTCTTGGCATTTGAGGTCAGGTCCTTTTCCATCAGCTCATCAGCGTCACACAGTCACAAAAACTAACTACTAGACAAGGTTTCCAATCTTCTGTGGGGAATGTAAGATTTCACCATTCACAGACCGCTCCAGACCCTGCAGTGGAGCCACCACAGGCTTCCCCCACCAGTGAGCTGCTCCTGCTCCTCACGCTCCTTCCTTCCTGCACTGGGAAGCATCTGGGAGTCTTTAGTCCAGCTGGGCCATACAGTGAAGCCTACACTCACTGCAGACGCTTAGTCCCACTTTTCTCCGAAAACGTGGAGTGCACAGGCGCGGGCAGGAGAGGAGCGCGCTGTGACAGAGCCACTTTGTGCATTGTGTCCCCGCGGGCACGGAGGGCAGAGGCTGATGTAAGCGCAGAAACATGCGGCCGGGGTCGGCTCTGAGAGCCCGGCCTCTGCCCACACGGCCCAACAGAAGGGGCTGTGTGTCTCAGAAGAGTGGAAGTGGATCCCCCAGACAAAGTCGCCCTTCTTCACTGGCTGTCCCCACCAGTGCGTTTCGGATGCCCTTCGCCCTAACCATGCTGCCCCTCCATTTTCAAGTTTGCCAGTTAATGCAAAAATCCCTTTTCCCAGAAATGTCCCCATAGAGACACTAATAATAAGCCTGATTTAGCAGAGCAAGGGGCCGTGCAGCAGGAGAGGAGCCAAAGGGCCGAGCACGGGAAGGCAAAGGCAAGGTTGCCCCTCGAGGGGGAGGGAAGGAGCCTGTGAGGGCCGGGGCTGACCCCAGGGGCGCAGAACATCTTGTTCCGGTCACAGCAAGCACAGCGCGCTCGGGGTGACCACTCCGAAAAGGCCTCTCCGAGAGGCACCTGGTGTCCCTGCTCAAAAGAAGAGCTCTGTGGGGCTCAGCTCCCTTCTCCATGCGCTTCCCACCAGCCTCCTCCCACGCAGGCGCTTGGGCTCCACACACACAGGTGTCACTGGCCACCAGGAAAAGCCTCAGGGCTTTCTCTGCAGCCCTGGCCTCAAGTTATCTGAAGCTACCTAAAGCACTGAGGAGGCCACTTTCTACCTTTATCACCTCAGCAGCGTTTTTGCTGGTCCTCTCCAGGTGCACTAGGCAGGTTGTAGGTCCGCATTTCTGCACAGAGATCTCAGGCTTGTGTAAGACCGGGTATATTTGGGAGCCCAGGTACTGTTTGTCACTGCTAAGTAGCTCTGACAATGCAAGACCAGCAATGAATGGGAAAATAAATCACTGGCTTTCATCTCTTCTGACTTCTCGAGGCAGTCTGGCAAACATAAGCTTGTTGGTCCTTTCAACAGTCATGTGAGGTAGGTAAACAACATTTTTAATTTTAGAGATCAGGAGACTAAGGATGCAAATATATGTGAAGCAAGTCAGGGAAGAGACATAAGGAGAGACCCTTTCTGCCTACATGTAAAAGAGAACATGGCCCTTTGTTTAGTGAAATGCCAGAGCAAAAATATATTTTTACGCCCAGTACAAATAACTCAGATCATTAAGATGGGATCATTTCAAATAACTTTTTGTTTGTTGTATTGTGCATGCCACCTGCAGCGCTGCTCGCCTGGGAGAGCAGCCGCCAAGTAAGCAGCGTTATCTCTGCTGCTGGTCAGTTTGTAATCGATCCAACTTGAAAGTTCTTATGCGGGAGCTCAGCACTTCAGCGTTTAGTTTGCAAACAGGCAAAGTTTTGAATTTCTCATACACAAAAGAGCTTATTAAGGTCAGCAGTGACATTTTTTTTAGGTGATGGAAACATTTCCATTGTTAAGCTTTTACATAGCTCAGTTTAACAAAACCTTACTATCTGAGCCAAATTTAAGTTGGCAAGTTCTCTTTAAGTGGCAATCCATATTCATTATTTTCCAGACAAGCCATCCAAATCTCTGTTTTGTAAGTGCAACAACATGCATATCCCATGTCTTGCAGAAGGGAGATAACCTCACTCCTTGGCTGACACCACTGAGGAACACCGTGGGTTTCTTCTTTGCACTAGCTGGACTACACTGCTCCTTTTGATCCATAAACAGTTAGGGTGAGGGAGCTATACATGTATCACAGACACTTCTTCATATGCCCGTCCAGGAACTGGGTGATTGCACCTTGTGCTGACTGTAAATGTAAACAACTTCTGATTTTCAGTGTGAAAAAAACTTGCTGTTTTAGAGCATGGGATATAGGCATTTCAGGTCTCAAGGTTTCCAGTTTCTGTCTTTTACCCAGTAAGTCTGGGAGTCAACATGCAGAGGTTTATCACTTCTCTGTTCGTGTTCCTCTCCCTTGTCTAGACAGTTTGGTACTAACAGTTGAGGAAGCCAAATAGCATCCGTGACCCTTCCCATCAGGAAGGAAGAACAAGGCGGCACAAGAGGCCCAATCCACGCACTGACCATGCCAGAAAAGCGGCAGGGGCAGGAGGGGACATGCTAAGGCTCAGCCAAAACACTCTGCATCCACCACCCCCGAGGAGCCCTTGGGTGCAGTGGCCGGGCACGGGGGAGCTCCCCCCTGCAGCTTCCCAGCACGAAGCTGCTCCACGGGGAACAGGGCCTTGCTGTGCAAGCACACACACTTCTGCAAGGACAAGCTTACAGGCACACGGGCTTTGCAGAAAAGGTAAAAATAAAGCTGGACTTTTCTACTGGCATGACATGTCACACACCCACGCACATATATTAACAACTTATGTCCAAAGACTGGTAGCAATGCAATCTGTGACAGAAGTTGCAAGCTTTCCAAAAGACCACAAAATATTTCCTCCTTAAATGACAGTCAGTTGTATCAGAGATCAAAGTATTCATCTTTTACTGGTTTGCTGCCAGAAATCTTGGCCTGGAGCATCCCTGGAAATGGCCTCTATCTCACGGGACTTCCTGGGACATCCACCTGCATCTGTAGCAGCCTGGGCTGTAAATGGGGCCAAGCAATGTCATAAACCTGATAAAAACTCACGAGAAGCCCTCACTAGCTATGGGGGATCCGGTGTCATGCCCAGAGAGGGCAGTGCAGCAGGACATGCCGTGATGGTCCCAGCAGCAGGATACTGCATCAGCGCCCAGGGATTTTCCCCGCTTTGCTGGACGACCACAGGGGAAATATCTCTGCATCCAAAACAAGAGCTGGGAGAGGAATGAGGTCTGCAACCAGAACAAGGCATTTGAAAGGGCAAAAGCTACTACAATGGTCAAATGATGCAAATCGTCACTTGGGAAAACAAAGCACAAGGTACAAACTCCTATCCAAGAGGGAAACAGCTCGGCAGCCCGCCCGGCTTTCTCCAGGAATTAGCACTCAGGCTTTTCACTCTTGTGCTGAATTTTTGCCTGATACCACCTACCTGGTGACTTGCGTTCGCGTGCTGAAGTCCAGGGACCTCATTGACTGCAGTACTTCGATACAGCCCATGTACTAGAGAGAGCAGAGAGACAGACAGACAGGATGGCTGCATTAAATTCTGGCGAAGAGGTAAGGGGAGCATCACAGGAGAATGCAAATGTGGTTTCAGCCCATTAAATGTATGCAGAACCATAGTCTAAATGGAAAATCCAATCAGTTGTTTGAGCTCTGCTTACTAAATATATCGTTTCACTGAGGAGCATGTAGGACTGCAATAAAGATACTAGCAACGTCAATACATGGCGAAGAAAGACGTAAAGCTTTTTAGAGACATGAAATCCAGTCATTCCTTGCTTTCCAGTTCTGCTTATGCTCCTGACCAGCCTGTGTCACTGAAACGGGAGGGACGCGTGAGCTGGGGGCAACTCTCCCGCTAGCAGCAGAGAAGTGGAAGCCCCTGGGGCCAGGGCAGGGCAAAGGCCCCGAGCAGAAGAGCTGCAGCCAGGGCAGAGCACCCCGCAGGAGGTGGGGAAGGTGCGCTGGGATTCCGGCTCGCGGCGACCGCTCTGAAGGGCCGACGTTACAAACCAACCTGCCCTGAATCTGAGTCAGAGCCTACGCTTGCGCCGTGTGGGGCAGAGCTGGACGGCTTTCCATGCTCCTCCGGCATTTTCACAAGACTAAGGATTAGTGAAATACAGAGATCTTCAGAAACATCAGGAACGCAGTGATGTGTCACCCTGCGACTCCTGGGATGTCTGTGTACCAACCTAGGGAACATTTTCATCTCAATGAAGTGCACTAGGCTGACGCTATCCACTGAGTTTATCTTTCCCCAAAATATCTTACTAATTCCTTCTGCATTTCCGTTAATGTCCATCTCCCTGCTACCAAAGTGCTGAGACTGCTCCCCTTTACAGCCGTGACACAGATCCGGGTTTCCCAGTTTGCTTCCTCTATTCTGCAATTAAATATCCCCAGGAGGTAAAAAGAAGGACAGTGAAACCCTTGTTTGCCCAGGGAACGGTACCACATTTACCTGTTCTGCTTCGCCTTGTCTGTGAATTGATTTTTCCACTGGGGCGTTCAAAGGGGATCAGATTTAAGTATCTATTTCAGCTTTGGCGACCTCTCAAAATGAACGTGTGTGTTAAAAAGAGAGTGTCCCTGTACAGTTAAACAGGGAATCCGTAACAATTGTATTATCCCCGTTTTGATTTCTTTCCAAATAGCAGCGCAGCCCTTGGGAGAACTCCAGAATTAGGTCAGAGCCCTGGAAGGACATCAATACGGAGCTGAAGGGTTAGCAGAACCGCTTCCCTAATGAACATTTAATGACTTTGTAAAGGACTCGGAGAGCTATCTCACTTGTTAAAGATATTCCCGCTTAACGGGAACAAAGCAAATGTGGAAAATATGCTTAGAGGCTCAGCTCAGAGCATAGCGGGGACCTCTGCTCCTGCTGCATAAGGTCAAATATTCGGTGAGCTGCTTGGCTGCTCCACGGTCCCTGGGAAAAGGAAGATTTAGAAGTAGGTGAGTCATGCGCTGATAAGTGAGTCCCCGCTGCATCCTGAACAGATGCGTGGGAAGCTACTCTGAGCAGAGATGAAGAATCAATATTAGGTTTTTGCATAAGTGACCCTGAGTGAAGCTGAACTTATCAATGATTCACAAAAGACTTTTTTTTTTCCTCTCTTTAAAAGCCTGACTAGGGAAATGCATTAACACGGCACCTCGCTGCATCTCTCATATGTTTCAGCTGCCTTTGGCTATGGAAAGCAGCCCAGATAGCGGCGGCTCGAGGGCCACATCTCAGTAGGGAGGGGACGGAAACCCTGCAGAGCCCTGGGCAGGGACAAGCAGCTGGAACTGGAATTGCATCCGGGTGCCCGTGCAAAGATGTGTCCGAGCAAGGGAACTGGGTGCCATGCCCTGCACATGGGGACCCTTCTGCCCCCGGGCCGGGGCGGTGAGGAGGCAGCGCGGGAAGGTGCGCATCACATCGTGTTTCTTTCCAAGAGCTGCTGCGAGCAGCTGCAAAGGCGGCCGGGGCGGCGTGGGAGCGATGGGAACGCGCAGAGGGGCTCCCGGGAAGAGGCTGGCGCGGCGCCCGCCCAC